CCCAAATACTGCCTGTAAAAGTGGTTGGCATGAGAGTTGGAACCAACCTAAATGTTCATCATCAGACAACTGGATAAGGAAAATGTGTTATAAATACACAATGGAATACTACCCAGTCATAAAAAAGAATGAAATTCTGCTATTTGCAGCAACATGGATTAACTTAGAGAAAATCATGTTGGTGAAATAAGCCAGGCACAGAAAGAGAAATACCACGTGTCCTCACACATAAGTGAGAGCTAAAAAATAAAGAAAAGAAAGAAAGAAAGAAAGAAAGAAAGAAAGAAAGAAAGAAAGAAAGAAAGAAAAATAGCAATCACAGTGACATGTTGAACTTTCAAAAGGAGAGAACAGAACTGAGGTCACCAGACGTGGGAAAGTGGAAAAGGGGAGTAAAGGAGGAATTGGTAAAGGGTCATGAAAAACGATTACATTGTATAATGTTAAACATACTAATTATCCTGATTTGAGCATCACATATTGCACACAGGTATTGATATTCAGCTCTGTACTCCACAGATATGCAGAATCAACTATGTTACAGTTAAAAAAAAGGAGTGGTTGGTATGAATTGTAGCAATTCAAGCAGAGATAGAGATGTGTGGAAGGCAGAAAACAAAGATAAACTTCATACCTTAAAGTTTGTAATACAACTTCATAAATTTTTTCTTCATATTTTTGCTCTGTTGCTCTAAATAAGAATCATAGGATATATTTTGAGAGATTATAGTGAGTTGTAGGAATTCCTCACTTATATCAACAGATTGAACAAATTTTGGACCTATTATATTTATCACATATTATGTATGGTTAATAAATTCTAAATAGAAAAGGTTAATAAATGAATCTAGAAGATTTGGTACCAGAACGCCAAATAGACCAAGATATTATCTAAGCTGCATGGTTATGGAGGACATCCTCACGTTTTGATAGCAGCATAACACAGACAAAAATTTATGTTATCTTTTTTTTCCCTGCAGAAAAATGGAACTTCATCTTAACTGGAGTGAAGATTTGGTATCTTGATGGGGCTCTGCTTTGTCATTGTCCTTGGTTTGCCCTCTAAAGTAGAAACAGGAAAATTCTTTTCTGAATATATAATGAGGTAAGGTTTAAGCAAAGTCTTGTAGAAGCTTTTGTCCTCTAATCTCTAGGACAGAATAGAAGAGTGGAAAGGGCTTGGCTGAAAGAATACTTGTTTGGTACTGGAGAAAATGAAATAAAAAAGAAAAAGCATGGGAATGCTGAGGTTCCATGTATAGCAAGTGCTTGCTTGGGTAACAAATACTTTTTCCAAATTCTGATTGTGTAGCTCCTATTTCAGGAAAGGATCTTCTTAGAATCTTTAAACATTAAACAGAGACTATATTCAGCTATAATGCAAGCCTGTGACCTTTGTCCAAGGATTCAGTTCAATTTTATAAATCAGAAATTCAAATGTCATATCACCCATGATTTCTCCAGCTTTGGATACTGGCCTTTAGAAATACAACCTGTCACATTCTAGAGGTGGATAGTCATTTGGAGGCACATTCTCAGAAGTCTATTTAGTCAAAGAATATACACACATTTGATTTATGTAATTTTAAATTATAAGAATGAGAGCCTCTTTGACTGGACCAGTTTATGTGAGCTAAGATGCTGAAAGGCCAGCAAAGTCTTTGATATGGGAACATCCACAAATGTTCTAGACAAGATTTCCTATAGAGAGACTGGCTTGTTGGGAAGCTATTCACCTAAACAGAAATTATTCTATACTTTAACGTGCAAATTAGAATTAGATGCAGGTAAAAGAGGGTTTCACGCTTAGAGTTATGAACAGGGAGGTTTGGGAACAATTCACATTGTGAGGCAAAGTGGGGTCAATTAATGGGGTTGTCATTTAGACAGGTCCCATAGACAGGGTGAGGTTTTCTTTTTGGTGAGTCCTTGGACATGATGAGAATGTCAGTTGAGGACACAAATCTTAAACTGAAGGAACCGGCACTAGTTTCTGAGCTTTATTCAGTATATTCAACAGAGATAGGAGACTGTTTGTGACACCTTGTTCTTACTTAGTGAGCTGAGCAAGGAAGTGAAGACCATGTTCCCAGTTGAGGCATTTGAGGCAGTCTGAGGCTTATGGACACGGAATGAAGTAGGCTCCTCGTCTAAGTGGGAATTTGCACTTTCAGTGAGTCTTTGATCCCCTAAAAAGGACAGTTTGGTTTTTCTGGTGAGGGGCAACCTAGTAGGTACAAATACTTCCTTTGTAGGAAACAATACACAATATTACCCTAGATTGATTAGAGTGAAGTGTTATAATACCAAGGTCAAGGGTTTGGATCCCTGTACCAGCCAGCCCCCCCCCCCAAAAAAATAAAAAGATATTACCCTAGATATAGTTAGGAGACATTCCAAAAAATCCTCTTTGTTTTGATTAGTATTTATTTATTTATAAATTTCTGTGAGGTGGTGGAAACTCAATCTTATTCAATATTGATTCCACTAGGTGTGTAGTTAAGTTACAGGGAGCCTATGTAGTGTTCACATGTCCACGTGGTGAGGTGAATTTAATCCTCAAGGACATTATTTATACCAGCATCCATGGAGATGCCACATCCCTAACCATGCAGATTGTGTTCCCTCATTCCTGCCCTTAAGGTCTCTTCAGCTTTCTCTCAGCTATTCCTGTGGCTCACTCAGACCTGTCTAAACACTCTACCATTTTTATTCAGTTGTTCTGCCACTGTACTGAGGTTTACCTGGGAATGGAGACATTGATTCTGTTGTTCTCACATTCCCCAAACTAATTGGGGGTTCTCTTGTCTGCCCTCCTCAGGGTGAACAGAGAAGAAATAGCCACAGTGTATGGGATTCCTTCTTAGGAGCTATGACAGGCACAGATTATTTTAGCTCGGTGACAAAAATCCTAACCAACAGTGACTTAATTAATGATCTCACATAAGATGTTTGGAGATGCAGACCAGGACTGGTAGAGTAGCATACTTATCCCATCAAGAATTTGTCTTTCTGCTATGCTTCCACTATCTTTAGCTGTTGTCTTTTGTCATCAGGTTTGCCACCATTGTGCTTTTCAGGTTCACAAGATGACTGCCACATCTCCAGGTGTCATACCCATGGTCAAGGTGAGAAAAAGGAGTAGCATCAACTATATTCCACCCCAGCAGAAAAGCAAAAGCTTTTTCAGAAGCCCCTCAGAAAATTTTTCCTGGACTACATTACCCAGTAATCATAGTGGTATTTCTAAAACACAAATCTGATCATACTACTTTCCTTCTGTGGTTTCCTCAGGATAAAGTTCAAATTCTCTTACATGATGTATAAAGCCTTTCATGGTCTGGGCAGCCTCCATCTTTACCAACCTCCATACTCATCTCTTTCACTCTATCCTCAAACCACACAGATTATTTGCAGTTATTAGCAGTCCATTTCTTATCTCTGTACAACAACCCCCTAGCCATTCTCCCAGCTAACTCCTACAAGTTACCCACACTCAAGATTCAACTTAGATGTTACCCCATTCAGAAGACTTCCCTAGTTGAATTGGGTGCCTCATATTTGTACTCCTGTATCACTCAGCACTTTTCTCCTATACTTATCACACCATACTGTAATTATTTGTTGAACTATTCTGTCTTTTGCACTGGATAATAAAGTCCTTGAGTGGAAGGATTATGTCTGGTACCCTAATACTAGTGTGTAGTGCTTGGCACATAGTGGTTGCTCAATAAATATTTGTTAAATGAATGAACTGTAAGTGGAAGTCTGGAAGAACTTGCAAAGCTACCTGGAGAAAAACAGAAATTCAGCATTTCTTGTCAAGTGAATGAATTATTTTGACAGTCGATGCCCTTATCCCTATACTTTGGCTTACAATTTATAAAAACTGAGCAAGAAAAAAATCTAAAAATTAATAAAATTGAGAAAACATGCTATAAAGTAACATAAGAAGGTGATATAAAATAATAAGCTAAAAGTGTCAAGCCTACTGTAAGACAAAGAAAACTGATGAAACAATAAGGTTGTGGGACTGGGGGAGAAAAAGCAAGGAACTGAATGCTTTTCAGAGCTTATTAAATGAAATGTATTTTGTCGGTAATATCTCATTTAGTCCTTACAATAATTTTTCGTGGTTGATATGTTATGCCTGTATAAAGATAAGAAAATAAAGACCAGATCAGAGAAAAATAAGTGAATGAACTTGTATCTTTGATATAACAAACAACCTACAAATAAGAAGCAAATGAAAGAAATTAAAATCAAACCTAGAAAGTACTATGGAGAACATGAGAGGGTAAATCATCCCACATTCCAAATGATGCTTTTGCTGGGTTTGGCTTCCTATATCAGCTTTTGAGCTTTTCTCCCAAAGTGGTTTCTTTCACGGTCTCATCCGCTTTGGATGTAGAAATACTTCCTTTCTTTCACAAGGATAAATTACACTTCCCCCCTCAAGCTCTGTCTCACTCAAGTTTTTTCTTGAGCAAACCTACTTCATTAGATCTGTTTTCTGACTTAACTGGACTTTTTCCAGTCAGGTAAAGCACCCCCACCTCTCTTTCAGGGACCTGTCAGCAATACAAGCAGTGAATACCAGCACAAAGCAGACTACTATTATTGTAGATCACGCAGGAAAAAATAGAAAGGTAAAGCCCTTAACAGTGGCAGTGTTTAAGTGGCCATATACTGCGCAGTAACAAAACCTGGAGTTCAGATTCCACCGTTTGAACTTTCTAGGTCTCAGTTTTCTTACTAATGAAAAGGGGATACTAGTAAGAGTCTTCTGCCTACTCCAGGACTTCTGTAAGGATTAAATGAGATGTTGCATGTGAAAACGCTTCGCGAGCAGATGGTAAAACGCTGCAAAATGTTTGTAGCTGGCTACAAATTGGACCACGACAAGTTGTGTTTCTGGGCTGAAGATACCCAAAGGCCTGTTGCTAGGGAGAGGAAGCCGAGCGTTGCCACGTGACGTCATCACCCAGCGCCCGCCGCGACGGTTTCCCAGCAGGACTCAGGGCTTCGTTCCGCGCCATGGGGACTTGGCAGCGTCTGCTGCTTTTTGGTGGGGTGTCTCCCGGGAGTGGTGGCGGGGCTGCTGCTCCGCTTGGGGGAATCCGAGCGTTGGTTTGCCGGCGCCAGGTCCGTGGTGACACAGGGCAGGGGGAGGAGGGCGGGACGGCGATGTCGGGCGGCAGATGCGCAGGTGCCCTGGCGTTGCCCCTTGCCGAGGACTGACCTCAGTTTCTCATGGGCCCCGGTCGCTGGCGGCTTAGTGAGACCCCAGTCGGCTAGACGTCCCCACTTTCCAGGCATACCCCCAGTAGGACCAGGCTGAGGCGTGGAGGGACATGAAACGCATGGTCGGAAAGTGGATGTGCGCATTGCACATTGCTTTCTTGGTTTTGGGTTATTTAACAAATAGGTTAAAAAGAAGGAAAACACGTGGAGGATGTAACTCCGTAGAGAGCCATCTTATTTACTTTCCATTTTTTAACGTCAGCATATTTTGGAAGATAAATTTCAATTTAAAAATGTGTCTTTATAATTGTGATCAGTAGCAGTGGGTATATTATCACCAAAGGCCGAACTAGTGGAGAAGAGCAGAATTAGAAAAGAAAAAAAAGCCCTTGTAATCGCAAACCCCTAATTGTTTTTTCTTTTACAGAGTGACAGTGAAGATGGCTTATTTAAAACGCTTTTTTTTTTTTTTTGAAGTTATCTGGCGCTGAGAGTGAGTCCCTAAAACAAAGAAGAACACAGATCATGTCCCGAGGACTTCCAAAGCAGAAACCGATAGAAGGTGTTAAGCAAACTGTAGTTGTGGCTTCTGGAAAGGGTGGAGTTGGAAAATCAACTACAGCAGGTTTTTTAAAACCCTTTTTTTTTTTTTTTTTTTTGAAGTTATCTGGCGCTGAGAGTGAGTCCCTAAAACAAAGAAGAACACAGATCATGTCCCGAGGACTTCCAAAGCAGAAACCGATAGAAGGTGTTAAGCAAACTGTAGTTGTGGCTTCTGGAAAGGGTGGAGTTGGAAAATCAACTACAGCAGGTATTATGGGATATTAATTCTTATCCTGATTAAGAACTTAGGCCAACTGGCAAGTGCACCCTATTAAAATTATAGTTTTGTTTTTAAATAACGTTTAGTATTTGTTAGTTCCTAAAAGCTGGTTCCTTAGTTCAGGTATTAGGAGTTGGTAGTGGGTAGGAGCTTAGATTTTTTGGAGTTAGACAAAACTATGTAGTAGCCAGGTCTTGTACAACTTAACTGAAGAAAAGGTGGGGAGATTGCCCAGCAGTTCTTCAGTTTTCTTCATTATAAAAAGGGGATGATGACAACCTCTTTCAAAGCATGATTATGCAAATTAAAAAGTTAACCACTTAGCCCAGTGCCTCTTACATAGTAAGTGCTCAGTAATTGGTTGTTATTATTTTTAAAACATGTAGTAACTTTAATACGGAATTATTTCCACTCTTTGATGTTCTTTTCCAGTCTTTATCAATATACATATAGCTATGTATTTGCAGTAAGGTTGTTTGCATTGTTGTGCCTTTTTCATTTAACCGTAATATAATTTTCACATGTTTATAAAGTCAACATGATGTAATATTTGAAAATGCTTGAAAAGATGTAACATTATTTTAATTATTTGAAATGTCATTTAATTTTTATATCTTTTATATTAATATATTATGAGCAGAAAATTTTCTTGGTGGTGCTTTTTATTGATTATAGATTTCATTAGGCCGGCCCGTGGCTCACTTGGTAGAGTACAGTGCTGATAACACGAAGGCCACGGGTTCAGATCCTATATAGGGGTGGCCGGTTTGCTCGCTGGCTGAGCGTGGTGCTGACAACACCAAGCCAAGGGTTGAGATCCCCTTACCGGTCATCTTTTAAAAAAAAAAAAAAAGATTTCATTGACACAAATGCTGCTTTCAGAACTGATAAAGATGTGCCACCAGAAATAGAAGAGTTAACAAGCCTAGACTGATAACCAGATATTCTCTAAAATTTTCAAAAGTAAATTTTGACTTCTGAAAAAATTGTTTCAGTGTAATAATATAAAAGGGGAATTTCTTTCCTCCCAATTTAATCACCACAGGTAATGTGTTATATTATTTCAGTTTTGTTGAGTTATAATTGACAAATAAAAATTAAATATATTCAGGGTATAGAGTATGATGTTTTGATATATGTATACATTGTGAAATGATTTTCACAATCAAGTTAATTAACATATCCATCATTACATACCTTTTGTGTGTGTGTTCGTGTGTGTGTGTATGATGTTTTGATATATGTATACATTGTGAAATGATTTTCACAATCAAGTTAATTAACATCCATCATTACATACCTTTTGTGTGTGTGTTCGTGTGTGTGTGTGTGTGTGTGTGTGGTGAGCAAGAATAGTTAAGATCTATTTTAGCAAATTTCAGATGCACAATATATTAACCCTAGTCACTTTGCTGTACATTAGGCCTACAGAGCTTATTCATCTTATTACTGAAAGTTTGTACCCTTTGACTTGTGTTATACCCTTGTAACTTGTATTATTAATTTGGAATCATAAAGCACTCATGTCTTCTTGTTGCCTCATATTGAATTTTCAATCATTTCACTAGGAGTGGCTGCTAATTCAGATTTTACCCAATCTTTTGTTTTTAAAAGTTGATATTTAAAAAAATGATTATCCTTATTATATTTCATTGTGTTAATTTTGGCATAGTTCTAGACTGACAAAAGAGATCTTTTAAATTTCGAGATTTTTTTCAGACTATTAACCTAAAATTGGGGCATATGCTTATCTCAAAATTTTTTCATTCCATTGAAGTCAATGACATTTTGAAATAAGAAGAGCCAGATACAGAGTTCTGCGAATATCACTAGAAATCTTGTGTGTTGACTTAAAGCCATATTTGGTTCTTTCTGGATATTTTCAGTTTTATAGCTGTACAACCAGCTACAAAATGTTGTTGGCTCCATTTATTCTCATTTTGACTTGAAGGGAATTGTGGGAGAGTTTGTCAGATGTTTTGAAGAAATTAAGATTTACCAAATATTATATTTGTGATACACGCCTAATCTGTTACTATTTGACTCTATATTATTATTAAAAAATGATTAGTTAATGGTTTGTTCTTAGTGAATTCATGTGATATCCTATACATTTTTGCTTTCTTTCCTAAGTGCCTACAATCTGTTTGATGTTTTATTTTTAAAATTTAGAAGCTCTGAGTCTTTGGTTCTAGAATCTACCTCTTACTGTTTTTTGAAAATTTGGAGTTCTCACACCTGTTTTCACTGGTGTGAATTCTTTTGTATGCTCTGTGATTACTTGGACTAGATAAAGAAGGAAAGTGTTTTTATGGTCATAGCCGTAGTTCTTTAAGTTTTGTGCAGTTTAATTTGTTGGGTCTCTAGGCTAGCACTTGTTAAAACAGATTGTTTATTGTTTTTAGTTGGAAGATGATCTGTTGCCATGGAATGCAAAAGCATTTAATTAGGAAAATGTATGAGAAAGTGTACAGTGTATGACACATGGTAGGTGCTTCAGTAAATGGTCCTTCCTCACTTTTTTTCTCTGTTAACATTATACCGTCTGTCCCAAACAGCTACCCCTTGCTTTTCATGACAGCTCTGTCCTCACACCTAAGCCTAAGAAATAGGTTATTTCTATGTAAACTCTGTTGATACTGTATTTTCTTTCTCTTATATGTATTTATTCCTGTCCCAAACTATTTCAAAATACTTCTCTTTTGAATATTTATGCTAGAGATATTTTGGATTAGAAACATTTGACTAACATGAACATGCTCTGTGATTCTATTACATAAATGTAGGAAGAACCTAACATTTTTTGGGGGAGGGGGCAGTTGGCCAGTATGGGGATCTGATTCCTTGACCTTGTTGTTATCAGTATCATGCTCTGACCAAGCAAGCTAACTGCACAGCCCAGGAAGAACCTAACTATAAGCTGAATTATTTTTTGAAAGTTTCTGCTTAAAATTTGGATTATGTTTGAATTTTCCTGTACCTGATATTCAAAGTTATTTTATAATTTATAAAAATGAATTTATCAAGTTCCATACCCTAGGCTAAGTACTTTACATACAATATTTCATTTAAACCTCCCAGCAGTTATGAAGTAGGAATTATCCTCATTTTATATATGAGGAAACAGACTTACTGGATAAAATAACCTACTCAGGGTTATACAATAGAAGGTAATGGAGCTGGGTTGAACCAGATGTACCTTAAAAAGGTGTGCTCTTAACTACTTGACAGGAAACACCCTGACGTAATTTATAATGTTGCTCTGTAAGCAAATGTGATTCACATTATGAGGGTCTATTTATTGATCAGTCTTTGAAATGTGTTACTTTCGGACCTCTCTTCTTAGATGTAGCATATCCTTTTTGGTGGGCTAAAGCTGGTTTTGGGATTACTGCTTTCCTCCTTTGTGTTTCTGGAATTCACTGGCATAGGCAGTTTTGGGAACACGTTTTACCCCCTTACCTTTTATACTCTTCCCTTCTCTCCGTGCAGAGTGGTCCAGGCTTTCATATACATGAATGTTTATGAGTTAGATACTTGGAACTCCTGCAATACCAGCATTTATTTTTAAGACAATTGGATCATATTCACTTTTATTTATCAAAAGATAGAAAATTTTTCTACAGAATATGCTTTTGAAAATAATTAAAGTATATATTCTATTAACATTGTTTTTTAAAAACTAAGTGGATTATTTAAACAAAATTATAACATTACTAGTGGATTCTTTAAAATGTTACTTTTGGGGCACTTACCTATTGCTTATGTTAGAAAATTACTTTCTTTTTTACTTTACTTTTTACTTTCTGTGTTCTCTCTGTGTCCTTGTTCTTTACAAGTAAGTGAGATATGTTAAAAGTTTTTGTACATAGGTTATTACATTGAAAATTTTAAAAGGCATATTAAATTTAATAGAAGAAAAGTTACTAAATTTAATTACTTTTTTATTTTTTACAGTGAACCTTGCACTTGCACTAGCAGCGAATGATTCGGTAGGTGTTTATTAACAGAAATATTAATTTATTAAAATGTTATTTAAGGTAATGATAAAGAGCATATTGGTGTTTTCCATTTACTCTGTCAGAAGCTATGTAGTGTAGTTTTAGTCATTTGCTTGGCTTTAAGGAACTCGAAATACTGCCAGTGGTACTGGTTACTTTTAATAGTAGTGGTGCATTTAAATAGTGACCATATATTGTTTGCAATATATCCCACAAAAGGCTTTTGTGTTCTTGAACAGAGGTCATATCCTAAACCAGTTTTCCCACTTATGATCTATTATGATCCCATTAATAATTCTAGAGAAGAATTATTCTGAGTTCAACTTTTAAGTATTAATTTTTTTTTCTTTAAAGGTAAAAGGTAAAAAATATTCTGAAAGTAGTGTATAGCCATTGAAATAAAATTCAAACAGAAGATGTGTAACATAAAACTAAGGTTCTTACACTCCTTTTCTTCAATAGGATTAACTGTAGCTATGAATTTATATATATCCTTTCAGTTCTTCCTTTCACCATACAAAATTAAAAAATAATACATATGTATATACATGCATCTTTCTATACTATATGTCATTCTTAATGGCTGCTGCATTAATGGCGAACCATAATATATTTAATCAATTCCCATTTGATGTAATATTTAGGTTGGGTTGGTTCCCATTATTTCCCCTTATTTTAAATGATGTTGCGGTGTAATTCTTATATAGTATTCCTACACATTAACTGTTGATATTTTTGTAGGATAGATTCCTGGAAATAAAACTGTTAGGTAAAAAGATATACATACTTTAAATTATATTCCTAAAAGTTTTCTTAATTTTTAATTTCAGCTGTAGTCTATGAGAGTACACCTTTATCATACTTCATTAATGTGAGATGTTATCTATCTTTTTAGATATTTAAAATAAAACTAAAATTTAACATTAAAGATATGCAACTCCATAAATTAATCAGCTAGTTAACAAAAATGCACATACATATTTCAGAGCTGATTTTAATTTCTCCTTCATACCCATTTTATAAAATACAAGAAAGAATCATTTAATATGTTTAGCTGTGACTGTGCTTCTAACTTATTTTCTACCATTACTAAGCAATTTCAGTTCTTAATAGAAAAAATAATGTGTGGTACTATGCAAATGTGGTATTAACGTATGGAATCCAGAATCTCCCAGAAATCAGAACTGGGCACATGAAGTTTGTCTTCTGATGCTTGGTTCTGTGTTTATTTCTGAAAACTTGAAACTAATAAACAACATTTGTAATATTTTGGTTCTGTGAATTTTATTCATTGTAGAACCAAGTGGTGTAAATGAACTTTTACAGAAGAAAATGTAGTCATGTTTCTCTAAAGTTGTGCTTCTAGAAGGAGAAGATTCCAATGTCAAGGTCAAGTTTTTTCTTTGAAAAATTTTTTCAAGTCTTTTCCTTTTATGGAAGACTTATTTTTTGTATCCCATCTTGTCCTCTTTCTTGAATTCTTTTTTTGTTTCTCTGGAGGGCATCTTGAGTCCTTGTGTGGTTTGATGGGCAGAATAACAGCCCACCAAAATGTCCACATTGTAATTCCTGGATCCAGTGCATATGTTACCTTTCATGGCAAAAGGAACTTTGCTGATGTGATTAAATTAACAATCTTGAGTTGGGAAGATTATCCTCGATTATCTGGTTAGGTCCAGTGTGATCATAAGGATCCTTATAAGTGAAAGAGGGAGGCAGCAGAATCAGAGTCAGGGTGGTTCTATGTAAAGTAGCAATCTACTATTGCTGGTCTTGAAGATGAGAAGGGACCGCTGGTCAAGGAATGTTATGTCGGCTCTAGAAGCTAAAAAAGGCATGGAAGTGGATTCTTCCCTAGAGCCTCTAGAAGGTATGTAATTTTGCTGACACCTTAATTTTAGCTCATTAAGACCCATTTGGACTTCTGTGATAAATTCTTAACAGAGTAAGTAGGAAACTAATACATATAGGTAGTTAATTTGCTTAGTTCATTAATTTCCAAAGTCGCTTTCATATTTTATATTTTAACTAAATATAGAATTCAAGGTTCAAAATAATTTTCTCTCTGAACTTTGAAATAAACATTCCATTTTTTTCTAGAATGCTAATGAAATGTCTGATGCTAGTCTGATTCATATTCCTTTGTATTAACATGTGTTTTTTTTCCCCAAAGCTTTTAAGGCTTTCTTTAAGTCTTAAGTTTAAAAATATCACAAATATGTATCTTGTTGTTGGCTTTAAAAATTTTTATCTGCTTGGAAAATTGGCTCTGCAGTATCGTGACTTGAGTCTTTTTCAGCTTAGGGAAAATTTCTACTATTAATTAACTACTTTTTTGTGGTGTGTTTCTTCTCTGTACAGAAACCTATTAGGTAGATGTCAACTCTTTATACTTGGTAATTTTTCTCTCATATTCTCTATCTCTTTGTTTTTTGCTTTGTGTTTTGAAAGATTTCTTAGACTTTTTCATACTGCTATATTAGATTTTAGTTGTTTTTTAGTCCTTCTGAAAATTTTTTTTATTTAGAAATTATACTTTTTCCAATTTTTCATAACTGTTATTTGTACCATTCTCTTGAGTCTCTCTGAGGATGCCAATTAAAAGTAACAAAAAATGTCTATCTTAAACATCTCTGTTGACTTAGGATGATAGTTCCAGTAATGTGGCCCTCTGACCAGCATAATCAGTATTACCTGGGAACTTGTAAGATATATAAAAATCTCAAGCCCTACCCCATCTACTGAATCAGAAACACTCTTTTTTTTTCTTTTTTCAGGTGGTAGGAATGAGGACAGCTTCATCTTTAATACTTATGTGTATGACAGGGAAAGTGGCAACAGGAAAGAAACAGCAGTAAGACTACTCTTGGATCACTTCCTTAGAAAGCATTTAGTATCTTAAAGTTTAGTGTTTTTAAACATGTTTGTAAAATCTCCCTTAAGAAGATCCGTAGTATTCTGTAGAAGGTGTTTTTTTTCCTTTCATTTTTTGATATTTTGTAGCAAAGTTAGTGCAGAAATCAGGAAGGAAAAGGCCAAGAAATTTGAGCAGCATGTTGTGATAATGCTAAGATAATATGACTTACTACAGTATTTTATGATTGGCTACTATCTTGTCCTCTTTAATAAATATATAATACTTAAGAAAGAGAAATTTAATATAGCATATATACTTGATTAGTAGTGTTTTTGATTAGGGAGCAGCATGCTTGTCTTAAATGATTTTTCTGAAATATGATCTGCCAGAGGACTGCCTGAAAATGGAAAAGAGCTATACCTGTTCTGTATGATTTATATGTGTCTGGCATGATCCTGTGCTCTGTATTTCCTAACTTAAGATTTTATTATTTTATTTATGTAGAGGACAGGCCTTTGGGAGAAGCTTAGGATTCCTCCTAGCCCTTCTTTTTGCCTGTGCTGATATAGATGGCTTAGGTTCATGGACATTTATCGGGAAGTGGTGCTAGGATGTGATACTTTAAGGTGTTAAAAGCTCAAGTTAGGATGGTGTCTTTGGAGGTCTCTATTGATTCATTACTATGCGAAGTCTTAATTATTCCATGGACCTCCTATTGTGAGAGGGATCTCTGACCTGTTTCTGCTTAAGCCAGTTTTGCTGAAGACCTTGCTAACTATTTTCTCTCATCTTTTCTATGGGTTGGCGTCTGTTTTTCAGCATTGGAGTGGGAAGGTCTAAGATAAGGCTGTAGGCCTAGGGGAAGCAGGTCCAGGAAGCTATTCATAACTATTTTCTCTCATCTTTTCTATGGGTTGGCGTCTGTTTTTCAGCATTGGAGTGGGAAGATCTAAGATAAGGCTGTAGGCCTAGGGGAAGCAGGTCCAGGAAGCTATTCGCACAGTGTGGAAGAGCACTGAGACTGGGAGAGGGAAACAAAACCCATCAGAAACTGTTGATAAAAAAAAAAAAAACTGTTGATAAGCTCTGTGAGATTTCTAAGTCAATTCATTTCATTTTAGTTCAACAGATATTTATTGAGCACCTATAACATTCACTGCCAGACATCCTGGGACTAAAAAGAAAAATAAACATGCACTGTGGAAGCTTATAGCCTGCTAAAACTACATTCACAAAAGTGTTGTATATATAAATGTGTGTATATATTTATATAAGTGTATTTACATCTGTGTCTATCAATTTCTACCTATCTTTTTTTGGTGGTATATAGCTGAAATTGGTTCGGTAGTATTGTCAGGCTAGGGCCCACAGACCCTTCAAACCTGTTGTATAGACTGGGTCACCAGACCCCTCACATGCCAGACTGGGTCACAGACCCATCTCATGCCAGGCTGGGTCACCAGACCCCTCACATTGCAGGTCGCAAGCTAGGTAATTGGGAAATATCCTGGGAGCCACTGGCAGAGTTGACAGGTTCATTCCAACATGAGCTCAGTCCTCAGTCCTCAGCTTCCTCAGCAGCAGCAGCCGCAGCCTCCCTGAGGCCCTCCCGCCCCTCTGCCCCGGGGCATATCAGGGGTGAGGGGAGTGGGGAGGGCACTGTGGATCAGAGCTACTCATCCTTTATACTTAAGGCTGATAACCCAGGAAGACCTGGGTACCCACGTGCATCCGCAGACAATGGCTAAGGAACACCTGGGCACACGTGCACAGTTATCATTTACATCAAATCCTCGGCAAGATTCTGAACCCCCTGAGGGAGCCTGACCATTTATCTTCACTTTCCCTACAAGTAGTTTCTTCTGTGTTAATTAAAGCAACATTTAATAAGGTTTTATTGTGCTTCTTAACAGAGTAGACACACTTAGTACTCTTTAAGGTTTTGTGTTAGTGAAGAAAAAATGTGTTAAAATGATGAGGTATATTCACGGTCAAATGCAGTAGTAAATCTACCCAAGATGACTAGCTTTTATTCCAGAAAAAAAGTCCTTAGTACTCTTTAAGGTTTTGTGTTAGTGAAGAAAAAATGTGTTAAAATGATGAGGTATATCCACGGTCAAATGCAGTAGTAAAT